CCGCGCAGTTCGGCCGGGCCGGTCGCCGCGGAGGCCGAGTCCGCCCCCGGGCAGAGTCTGCGCGTCTACTCGGACCTCCACGCCTTCTACTACTCGTGGTACGGGAGCCCGCGGCGCGAGGGCCACTACATCCACTGGGACCACGTCATGGTGCCGCACTGGGACCCCAAGATCTCGGCCAGCTATCCCCGCGGCCGTCACAGTCCCCCGGATGACCTGGGGTCCAGCTTCTACCCAGAGCTGGGGCCCTACAGCTCCCGGGACCCTGACGTGCTGCGGGAGCACATGACCCAGCTCAAGGAAGCCGCCATCGGTGAGTTCCCCGGACCCCTCAGCCTCGCCCATCTTCCCCATTTTCGTTCCCCATCTGCTGTCCTGTCACCGGCCTTTGATTCCATTCAACCTCCAACTTGACTTCATAGCCTTTCCTTCCCATTACGGGCCCACTACGCGGCATTGCGCCTTCTTTTTAGTATTCCAATTGCCTTTCTGGACCCTTCTGACCCCCAATTCCAGAGCCTTCCTACAGGGCGGAGCAGCTAGGGGTTTGTACCAGAGCTGTCCTGCATAGGGACAGCAAAGAGAGGAAGGCAGAAACTTCAAATCTGTTGGGCTTTTGGGTTTCAGGGAAGTGAAAAACTGGGTTTTCTGGTTCCTCAGGAGTCTGGGGTTCAAAGGAATAAAGCCTGGTATGACCTCTGCTTTCACATCAGGTGCAGGGAAGAGCAGCGGCTCTTCTTGCTTTTGCTGGCTGTAGAGAGGAAAGTTTGCCCATGTTGTATGACAGACCCTGCTTGGGGGGAGAAAGAGCTTTTCATTAAGTGCCTATCCACAGGACAGGTCCCTGGGAGTCTCCTTTGTAGGCTGGCGTGTTCAGTTGGTTCAGATTTTATTACTAAATTCTGCTACACTTTGTAGTACATTTTAATATCGTACTTGGAGATGGTTTGTGAATGACGGGGAAAACAAGGAATGACAAAGAGAGGGGTGAGAAATATTCAAAGATAAACAAGACAGGGGCCATCCTTCAGGTTTACAGTCTAGAGTCACAGTCAAGTCATGGCAAATGCTCTGAGATACACCAAGATGACTTTTTGCACAGGCCTCTACTCTATGTGAGACCTCAGAGGTGATCCTCTTTTTGGAACGTAGGACTGGGGCTTCTGGGTGGGTGTGGCATGGCCACCCTCTCCACTTCCTTCTGCTATTTGCTGATGGAACCAAAAGCCTTCTGACCTGCTTGGTGCTCTATGGCTCTCCTGGCCAGAGCGATTCAGCACTGCAGGCATGGACAGCTCCGAAGCTCTGGGATTGGTTCTGCAGGAAATGAACCTGGCAGAAGGTTTCCATGAATAGTTTTTCAGTTGGAAATCATCTGCCAGGAAAGAGAAGTCTGTTGAGGAGTACTCTGTACCTTTAAAGTGTCTTCTATGTTGTGTTTCAGGCGTCTTGGTTCTCTCTTGGTACCCACCTGGCATGGCTGATGATAACGGGGAACCCTCAGATGATCTTGTACCTGCTATTCTGGATACAGCCCACCAGTACAACATCCAGGTGAGTCTCAAAGAAGAGGTCATGTGCTCTCTCATTCTGGAGATGACTCCTCCTCTGCCTACAGGGTTAAAGCCCCTAGGGAAGTTCTTGGCTGTAGTCCAGGGATGGTAAATAGGGAGCCAGTGTGGTGTTGGGGGAGGGTTCTCATAAGCATTGCCTGTGTCACATTTACTTTATTTGAGAAAAATAAATATAGGATAGATGGGCGACTAAATAAATACCACTTTTTATTAAATAACAACAGAAGTTAGTTTGGAGACCCTGACCTTGGGTAAAGGCTAGGAAAGTGCTAAATGGACCTACAGATTGAATTCTGGATCCAACTCCCTAGCAGGAGGCAGCGCTGGTGGTGACACAGGTCATCAGCTCACCTTCAAGTGGAAGGACATGAAGCAAGCATGTGGTTATTTTCACTGAATGTACCAATTAGGTCAATCTCCACAACTATGGCAAAGGAAGAAAAATGACAGGAGCTACATGTCCTATTCCTGAGTCCACCACTATCACATTTAACAGATCAAGACACTTTTTCCTATCAACACAGCTTCCCATTGTTTCAGGCAGCTAGTGCCAATCACTTGGAACTGGTACATAGGTTGAAACCTGTCAGCCATCCTGTAGCCCACCAGAATGATTCCTAGATGCCCTGTTGTGGAAGGTGAGCAAATTTTTTGTCCTTCTCCTTTTTTTTCTTTTTGGTCTAGAAAGATAGTGTCAGTCTTAACTCTATTGTGCCCTCCATTGCCAGGCTTTCTCCTGAACTCAGCTTCCCCTTCAGACCATGTTTGGAGCATGAGCCTTATTTGTGGCCCCTGGACAATCTCTTGACCAGTAAATCCTTTGTTTGTGGCAGGTGGCTTTCCATATCCAACCCTACAAGGGCCGGGATGACATCACTGTTCATGACAACATCAAGTACATCATTGATACGTAAGGCTGTTCTGGGGGCTAGGTTTCTTTTTATTTATTTATTTTTTTTTTGTGTGTGTGTGTGTGTAATTTATTTTTCAGGTGTAGTTGGACACAATGCCTTTATTTTATTTATTTTTACATGGTGCTGCGGGACTAGGGTTTTAATGGGGATCAAAATGGAGAAAAAGGGATAAAAAGTCTGGGGGGACAGGTCAAGAGATCCAACCTGCCTGTGTTCCCAGCAACTGTTTTGTAGTAAATTACTGGGTTTAGCAGGGTGCAGTGGCTCACAGCTATAATCCCAGGCACTTGTGAGGCTGAGGCAGGAGGATTGTAAGTTCAAGGCCAGTCTCAGCAACTTAGTGAGGCCTTGTTTCAAAATTAAAAAAAAAAAAAAAGAGTTGGGGATGTAGCTCAGTGGTAAATTGCCCCTGGGTTCAATCCCCCAATATAGAAAGAAATTAGTGGGTTTGAAGTCAGGCTACCTGGATTTCAATTCCAGGCCTGGGGACTCTGTGATCAGAGGCAACCTGAATCTGTTAGGCACTTTGCTCTTGGACTTCCCAGTTTCCGTAACTATGAGAAATGTGTTTAACTCAATAAAAGTGTTTGCCGGGGGAGGGGTGGTGGTGCAGGGAGTATAGCATTTAGCTTACGTAGCATGCAGGAAACCCTGGGTTCAATCCCCAGCCCCCCTTTCCCCCTGAAAACTCTGCAAAGATCTGGGGTAAGGGGAAAATTCCAGAAGACTGGCAAATGTCAAGGCCCTAAGATGTGACAAGCCTGACATGACAGGGAACAGAAGGCCAGATGGGTAGTGGAGATGGGTAAGATAATGGCAGGAGTGGAGGTAGGCAGGGTCAGATCAAGCAGGTGGGACCTTATAGGTGGTGATAAACTAGCAGTCAGATCTGCTTTACATTTTAAAAATAAAAATTGTATTATAGGAGGTAGAAATGGAAGACTGGAGACCAGTTAAATGGCTAATGCTGCAGTTCATATCAAAGATGGTGGTGGTGTGCCTCAAATGGGGAAGTGAGGTTTAGTAATGGCAAGGCTGGGGAAAGGAAGGTGAGGAACAAGGTTCTTGCTTAGAGGCTTGGTAAGTCCAACCATGGAGACTAGTTGAATCCCAAATTGTGCTATGAGCATTGAGAACAATCCCAATGTGGCTGCTTCTAAAGCTGTGCTAGTTTCTTGCATCCAACTCAGGCTCCTTCCTTCTGCTCCTCAGATATGGATCCCATGGTGCGTTTTACCGCTATAAGAACAGCATTGGCAAGAGCCTCCCACTCTTTTATATCTACGACTCATACCTAACATCCCCTGAAGCCTGGGCCCACCTCCTGACACCCAATGGGCCCCACTCAATCCGCAACACTCTCTATGATGGGGTCTTCATAGCACTACTGGTGGAGGAGGGTCATACCCATGACATCCTTGCTGCAGGATTTGATGGCATGTACACCTACTTTGCCTCCAATGGTTTCTCCTTCGGCTCCTCCCACCAGAACTGGAAAGCTGTTAAGAACTTTTGTGACGCCAACAACCTCATGTTCATTCCAAGTGTGGGGCCTGGCTACATTGACACTAGCATTCGACCCTGGAACAACCACAATACTCGGAACAGGGTCAATGGCAAGTATTATGAGACAGCCCTGCAAGCAGCCCTGACCGTGAGGCCTGAGATCGTTTCCATCACCTCTTTCAATGAGTGGCACGAAGGTACCCAGATCGAGAAGGCCATTCCCAAGAAGACACCAACACGCTTGTATCTGGACTACCTGCCTCATCAGCCCAGTCTGTACCTAGAGCTGACCCGCCGCTGGGCAGAGCATTTCATAAAGGAGAAGGAGCAGTGGCTGATGTGAGGGGCCCATGAACAAGGGCATGAGGTGTGCTGGCTCAGCTGAGGCTGTAGGTACTCAATGGTCCCCAAGTGAGCAGCTGAGTGCTTCTGGGTGGGCCATGAAGCCAGGGCCCCTATAGAAGAGTCTATTCCTCAGGTAAGCAGTGCTGGGGTAACCTGTGATGCAAAGTGAGGTGGTGTACCCAAGGGAAGAGTAGAGGCTGGCAGGTGACTTTTACTTAGCCCAGGCAGCTCCACATCCTCCTCAGAACACTTTCATACAACCTCTGCTGCAAGTGGTGGTTGTCTTGTGGAGTCACCCGACCACTGCTCTTGGAAAGTTTTCAGGATTCTGAACTAGTATGCACCCTGCTCCTTTCTGCCAGCCTCCCCACAACATTGTCTTCTTGGAAGACAAGCAACCACTTCTAAGACTTTTTAGAAGGAAACTTTCTAAAAGGAAGCTCCTCCCAGTAGATTCCTGAACCCAATTACCAGGAAGTCATCTTGAACATTCACACATTTATTCAACACTCACAAACTGAGCACCTTACTATGTGCTAGGTGCTGGGGAAAACTTGACTGAGGAATGGCTCCTGTCCTTCTGAAACTTACAGGAATCAGCCTTCCTTACTTGGTGTGGCCTTGTCGCTAGTGCTTGGGCACAGTTTTAAGTTTTGTGTTTTTTTTTTTGGCAATTGTACCCAGTGCTGAGAGTTCAGTTCCTTTTCCTCGAAGAAAATACCTCTGTGCTCCAGAACCTACTTTCTCTGGGATGAACTTTCAGTTCCAGGCAGAGTAGTAGGATACCTTTTCCCTTTAGCTGCCCAAACTGAACAGGGCCCACTTGTCAGAACCGCTTTCAGTGCTACTGTGATTTTTACTAATGAAGTATCAAGCAGTATTCTCAAGTCCACACTCCTTTTGCCCCCAAGACCTGTTTCTGACCTGAGTCAGATTCTGGGACAAAATGATATATGGGTTGGGCTGGCTATAGTTTTAGCACAATGAAGAGTGGGTTTGCTTAATAAGTTACTGGTTTACCTAAGATTTCTAGAGGGAATAGTTAACAAACCAGTGTTTATCTATGAATAAATTGCATTAAAACAGGATCCTGAACACATTCTTGGCAAGATCCTTAGGATATACTTGAAATAATGTATGTTGCAAACCCCAATACTAAGAGTATTTTAAGACTGAATCACAATTCTGGGAAATAGGGTACAAGTGGAAAGAGAAGAAAGTGGACCCCAGGTCCTCTCAAGGATGTCTAATTCCAGTTAGGTTACTAACACTAAACCCTTTCAAACAAATAAGCAGCTCTGGCCACCTAGCTTGTGACTTCGTTGGGGAAGCCAAAACACGCAGGGACACTTGAAAGTGCTGGATGCTGACCTATAACAATTTTGTTTCACACACATACAATTTGAAAAAGACAGCAGGGCTGGCAGGAAGGGGCAGCCATCCTTACACATTGTGGATGCAATGAAACTTGATTTAGTTCTTCTGAAGGCTACATCAAGAGCCATAAAAGCATATATACATTTTTGACCAAGCAATCCTACCTTAAGGAATTAATTTACTTCAAAAGAAAAACAAACCATTTATAAGAATGTTTAATAGCATTTTTTAATAGTAAAGAAAAACAAAGCTCAAATGCCCAACAATAGTTATGTCTAACATTTGGTATACATACTGAACAAAGATAAAAGGCTGCTGAGTAAACACTGGAGTTAAATAAAGGCATATACATATAATCAACTATAATTTATTTTATAAATAAATAAGAAAAAGTCACTGGCTGAAAAGGATTTGGTTTCCAGTATTATTTAATTTGCAGCCCCCCACTCCCCCATCAAATCTCCCTTCAGGCCAAAATGACAACTCTCCCTGCCAGGCAATCACAACCACCCTACTGGCCCCACAGATTTGGAGGAAAATGTTTGGTCTGCAGTTCTACAATTTTTATTTTAACCTGGTTCCAGCCTGAGGAGCCAGCAAACCCTTGCTTTTGGTCACCTGACTTTTTGGTATTGGTGATTGAATCCGGGGGCTCTTAACCACCGAGCCACATCCTCAGTCCTTTTTGAATTTTGAGACAGGGTCTCAAGCTGATTAGGGCTTGGCTAAGCTGCTGTGGCTGGTCTCGAATTTGTTATTCTTCTGCCTCAGGTTACTGGGATCACAGGCTTGAGCCACTGTGACCAGCTTACTTTTCAATTTAAAAGAGAGAGGGAGGGAGAGGAGAAACTGATCAGATTTAAGACCACCCTAGGAATGTTCTTAACCTTTTTATTCAACTTTTTGCTGATGTATGCAACCACAGAAGAAATATAACCTTCCCACAAAGTGGTTAAACCAGCAGCTTCTGGTCTAGTATTCAGAAAGACGTGTTGCCTAAAGAATAGGCTAGTGATGTGGCTCCAGTGGCCTCTGCAAATGAGGCCTTGACAATCACCAGTGGACAGACACATAGTATCCAGCACTGTCCTTGGGTCCTTCTCCTGAATTTCATGGGCAGGACCTGTGTGAGGGGAGTAGCCCGTACTTCTGTTGGAGAATGGCTGTAGTGCTTTCCAGGGCACTGAGGAGGATACAGAGAACAGTTACAACCTGACTTCTCAAAGCCCTGAGTCTACCAAAGCCTGGTGACCAGGGATCTCTCAATTTACGGTTCAATGTTGTTTATCAAACCCTTGATGAAACCTAAAAAAGTCAGCAAACACCAGCAAATATAAATTTAGTCCCACTGCACCTTCCATTTCTCCATGCCTACCAGCACCCCTCACAGCAAGATGGGAGTGACAACCTTCGTTTTGTCAAAGCTATTTTTCATCTTCCTAACCTCCTTCAAATTCTACTCCTCCAACTTACCAGCCTGGACGAATGATGCCAAACTTTCCAGACACAGATAAGTCAACCACAGTAGAACCAAGGCGATACTCAGGGCTCTGACCATCCCCAATTGGTCCCCCATCAATGACCAGGGACAAATGAGGCCAAAGGTCTTGGAACTCCTGTGGAAGCAAAGGAAGAGCATGGCCATAATCTTTGGCATCTGCAGTGATGTCACATTGCACACATGGCTCATAAATAAGACAGAGGCTGCAGTTTTAAAATAGGAGACATCTCCCTCTGGGTAGAGGAAGGAGCCTCACTTAGTTAAGGCCAGCTGTTCTAAGGCCCTGTGTTAATACCTAAGATAGAGAACCCTTTGGAGTCTGTAGCCTTCCTGGGTTAGCATCCCAAGTAACACATGTCTAGAATTTAAAGAAAAACCTTGCTATGCCGGGGTTCCAGGTGGAGATTAAGATGTGGTCTTTAACCCTGGACTGTGTGACAAATAAAAATCATATTATCCAGGTCTATAAAATAAAGGGCCTGAACTAGATGACCAAGGATCCTTCCAGCTTTAGCACTCTGATTCTGGACCTTAATGGAACTTTGGATCAGGACAGGGAGAGAAAAATATGTACATGCCACCATACTCAATCCTTGGGATGTGGGAAGAATGCTTCTACCACAACTGTGAACTGGATCATTAACTGAGCTAGAGCTTGCCCTACCCCCTAGTGAAGACATTGCAGTGGAATTAGGACTGGGAATTCAGGACGGGGGAGTCATAAATGGCAGTTATTGTGTTGGATAGGTCTACTCATTGCTAACAAAGTAAAGAGCCTATATCACCTCATAAAATTCCACATTTGTGTTTAATAAGTGAAATTTGTATCCTCATTTTTAAATTTTTCCCTTTTCTCAGTACTGGGGTGATTTATCACTGAGCTACTTGCCCAGCTCCTTTTAAGTTTTTAAATTCTGAGACACAGTTTTGCTGTTTTCAATGTCAGGCCAGTATTGAATTTGCAATCTTTGTGCCTCCAGAGTTGCTGGGATTACAGGAATGAGCCACCACACCTGGCTATGTTCTTATTCATTCTAATCTAAGTAGCCAAAATGGGATTAGCATTGATCCTTTTCCTGACCTGGCTTGTGCAAAATGACAAGACCAAGATGAGAGCTTTCACTTCATCTATCTACCTACCTACCTTCCTTTATTCTCTCTCCCTCCCATCATACCGCTCTCTTGCTCCCTTTTTTGTTGTACTGGGGAATGAAAACCCAGGTCTCTGCACATGTCAGGCAAGGGCTCTACCACTGACTGACACCCCCACCTCTTTTTATTTAAAAAATTATCTTGAGACAGGGTCTCGCTAAGATGCATAGGCTGGCCTCAAACTTGCAATTCTCCTGGCTCACACTCCTGAGTAGCTGAGATTAAAGTTGTGCAAAAGGAGCCGGGCTTCTTCATCTATTTAAACAGCACTATTGTAAAAAAGACTTATAGCCTAACTCTTTAGTCTCCTACAACTGCTACCCCCACAAAAATAAGAAAACAATAACTTTATTTATCAGAATCTTTCCTATTACAAGACAAAATGAAGGGAAAAAAAACACTAGTTCTCCACTGCTTCTCAAACTTAAGAGATAAAACCTTTACATGTTTCAGATTCCTTTCCCCAACCCATGCCAACGGGGTAGCCTTCCCTCTGCTGGACCCAAAGAGCAACTCTCCCACCAGGCAATTTCTATGTACCATCAAGCCCATTGGTTCAAAGGACTGGATGACTCTCACCTCAACATTCAGAGAACTGGCCTGGGAGCTGAGGTTGGCACTGGTGAGAGCAAGAGGTCCCCCAAACATCTGGGCCAAATCCAGCATGAAGGCATGGTCAGGAATCCGGATACCTACAAGCTAAGAAGCAAGGGTAAAGTGGGGGATCATCAGGAAGGCTGGAAAAGGTAGGGGTTACCTTTGGTCTGAATCCCAATGAAACCAAAAATGACCAGGAAGTATGGAGATAATTTGACTCACAGGAGTAAAGGGGTTCAGGTCTTTGTTGAGCTCTTCTGAGCGTTCCATCACCAGGGTCACTGGACCTGGCAACAGGTCTTTGAGGAGCTCCTCGGGTACTCTTACTTGGCAATATCTGAGAAATAAAGGAGCAAAATCCACTAAAAATGAAGAACCCCTGGTGTGGTTCTTTCCCAGACTCGAGGCAGATCCAGGAAAGTTTTATGGACCTAAAATGAAATCTGACTGTCTCCCTGATTCCTCTCCCGAAGAATTCAAGAAGGCAGGGCTGAAGAAAAGGAGACCAGGCTTGGCGTCCACTGCCTGTCTCAGGGATTTCAACAACTGCATGGCATTATCAAGCCCCGCGGTTTATTTTCTGCAAGGCACTCGCTGCTAAATTAAGCTTCCAGAGAACTGTTTTCTTTTTCCCCCATGGCCTCCCCATACGCACAAAAGCGCCAAGAGAACAGGGAACTGCCGGCCTCTCTAGATCAAGGCCTGGCATACGTTAAGAGCTCAGTACACATTTCCAGTTCCGGATTCCTTGGTGAGCCTGGACAAGCCCCTCCCGCTCTATGCGCCTCAGTCTCCCAAGCCTGTCACCGGAAACCCCTCCCGCGGTGCCGCCCCCAGCGGGGCCGGGTCGGGGCGGCCTCACCTGTAGACGTCGGCCACGCGGCCCAGGCAAACGGCCAGCGGCTTGGTCTCGCTGCGGCCCTTGAGGCGGTACACAGCGTCCAGTGCCGTCGAGCAGCTCGCCGAGCAGGCCAGGCCGTACAGCGTGTCTGTGGGGACGGCCACCACGGCGCCGGCGCGCAGCTCGGCCACGGCGGCCCGCAGTGTCTCGGTCCAGCCAGCGCGCTCAGGACTTGAGGCCTGCACGGCCCCATTTCCCGGGAGCCGCAACAGCCGGGCCCCCGGCGCCGCTAGAGCGGGGCTCGGCGGGCGGAGAAGGCGTCCGCTACGAGCGGAGCCCGTCGGCCCCTTGCTCAACCCCACGCTGGCAGCCACTGCGGCCCTCAGCCCCGTGCACGGTCGCGCCGGAGACATCCGCCTAGGCCAGCTTCCGGGAGGAAGTGACGCACATAACCAACTTCCGGTCCGGGAGGCTCAGCCCCACCTCCGCGCCGGGCAGCTTAAAGGGACCGCGACCCCCAGGAGGATTGAAGGAGACCGGTGGGGACGGGGCGGGGCACAGCTTTGCGGAGCCCTAGCGCAGCGCTGGGGAGGGGGGGCGGCCGAAAGGGGGGCGGTGGTCGGGCCGCGCAGGCGGAGATGGAATGGGGCCCGGGCTCAGACTGGTCACGGGGGTGAGAGGGGGCCCGTCGGGGCGGGGGGGAAGGGGCTCGGACCCCGCGCAAGCGCCGGCCCTGACCATCTGTCTCGCTCTCTCCCGGGCAGGGAGGCTGCCGGCGTGGACCGCGGGAAGGCGGGGCTGGGGCTCGGCGGGAGGCCACCCCCGCAGCCGCCCCGGGATGAGCGCGCCCAGCAGCTGCTGGACGCGGTGGAGCAGCGGCAGCGGCAGCTCCTGGACACCATCGCCGCCTGCGAGGAGATGCTGCGGCAGCTGGGCCGCCGGCGCCCGGAGCCAGCTGGTGGCGGGGTCAGTGCCCACCCCGGGCTGGGCCTGGGGGGGTGGGGTCTGCTCACTTGCTGGACTAACCAAGCCTTAGCTTCCCCTGGAGGGTGGAAGAGCGTCTCCAGCGCTTTACCCTTAACCTCCTTTGGTCTGGGCGAGAGGTTTTTAAAAAGTTAAGTACTTGATCCAAATGCCAAGTGGCCATATCTTTGCGGGGCCTAATCCAAGGCCTTTCCTCCCAAGCTCACTTTTCCCCCTTCTGTTGCAATTAGAACGTCTCAGCGAAACCCGGAGCGCCCTCCCAGTCATCAGTCTCCGCCAGAGGTGGCTTTCCAAAGGATGCTGGTGATGGAGCTGCGGAGCCCTGACCATCCCCGAGCTGGACACCCTGACTTTTCTCCCTCCCCAGGGCTGGCGGCTGGACTCTGAACAACTCCCTTCAGTAAAGGGGCCAGTCTTCACTGAGTGTGGCTGATACTTGGCCCTCAGCCTGGAGTGGCAGCTCTGCTAGCAGCTGGGTTCACTCCGACTTCATCCTGGCTGAAGGCAGTGCTGGGCTTTGAAATGTAGCCAACGAATACCCAGTCAGATTACTCGGATTTGGGCTGACCAGCAGTGCTCGCCAGAGTGGTCTGGCCTGCTTTGGGGGTTCCAGGTGGTATTACGTGTCCATTTCATCCTTTGGGGCTCTTAGCCCCAAAAAACTTTCAGCAGAGCCTTGATTAAAAGGAAACCTGCAGACTCTCCTGGTGACTGACCTTTCCTTTCTGTCCCCTCTCCGAGACTGATGACTGGGCAGGGGGAGTGGTGGAAAAATGTCATCCATGGGCAGGGGTGGGAAGAAATGCCACAGATACTACCAAATTTAAATAAGCATTTAATTAGGATTTCATTAGTATTTAATATTGCTTTTCAATTCCAAAAAGTTAAATTTTCACTTCTTAGCAGATATTTTAAAGTACAATATTAAGTTTATACAAAATGAGCAATTAAGCAAACACCATTATTTCACATTCTTCAAAAATACAAATTCATATTTATTCTTTTTGGGTTTGGAGGTTTCTTCCTTTGGAAGTACTGAACCTGTAACGTTTTCATATCGCTCAGTGGAAGTCTATTGTTCCCATGTTTCACACTTAAATAAATTTGATAGACTTTTACATAATCCAAATAAAACTATTTGGGATTTAAAAAACTGTCACCAAGACTCCAGCCAATGATTAGTGTGTGTCAAAAAAGAAGGCTCTTGGGGGCTCTTGCCTTTCCTGGCTAGAAGATCTGAGCCAGAAACCCAGCAAAAACCTGTTTCCAGCCACCTTCCCTCAAAGGGGACTAGGGGCAGTTCATAGGAAAAGGGAACAGCCACTTTGAACTCTGAACCCACCCCCTGCTTTCTCCAAAACAACCAAAGATGTAGACTGTTGAGTCAAACAGCCCTTAGGAGGCCTGAGAACATAAGAGGAAAAGGGCAAGAGAAGCCTCTGACTTGGCACCACTACAAGGACAAGGATATTGCAAAAAACACCCCTGGGTTTTGGTGAAAAAGGTTTTATGAAAAATTTTCCCATAAGAAAAAGTAGAAACTGCATTGAGCTGAGAAAGTGACATGACATTATCACCCAATTTTTTGGCCCAGCAGGCACACCACCAAAAGGGCAGTGTGTGGTTTTAAGCCTCGATTCCAGTAAAAAAAAAAAGCTTGTACTATGTACACCTTGACATAAAGATCCAGTTTAATTTGCATTTTTCAGTGCAGACTGAGAAGTCTTCTTGATCAAGAGTACCAGTGAGAAATGCCCAGACTGTGATCATCAGCTCCCCCAAAGGGCAGAAGAAACAACAGACCCTTTCCCTCTCTGCCCAGGAATATGCAAGAAGAAACAGGCTAAATGGACTGACCAATCAGAAATATGTATTATTTGGTTTTGTTGCCAACCTCCCTCCCCCAAATGTTAAGGATTGGACAATTTTCCCCTCTGTACTGCAAATATGAAAATCTTTCTGCTTTGGCTGAAGTGTATTTAAAACTTCTCTGGTCTATAGCCTAAGAATTAAAGATTACATGGGAAGAGGTGAGGGAGAAGGAAGAAAATTGATAAAGCAGACTATTAATAGCTTTGTTTACTGGATTTAATAAAGGCTGGAAGCCTTTTTTCTTAGAACTAACACAGGTGGTATGGGGAGCAGTGCATAAATGGCTCATGTTGACCTCCCAAACATATTTCTGATTGGTGATATAAGAAAATTGTAAACTCTTGAACAATATTGTAATTCCACAAATCAATGGTTCCTGTGACGCTCGAGTTAAAGATTAAAGACAATGGATGTGATTACAAATACAAAAGTCTAGAAGGTGCCAGGTTTCTACCTAGGAACAACCTGTTCCTTCCCTTCAGGCATCACTTTATAATGGTGAAGAGGGGAAAGATGGCAAGGGACCAAGAAGTGGTGAAAAAGGGCCTCAACAGTCAGAAGAAAACATCCACAGCAGTTCTTCCGAGAGCCTGAGGGGGCGCCGGAGCGCAGGGAAGGCTTGCATAGATTGAGCAGCTGCTGGGGATGCATAATAGTGTTTCCCTATGGACAGCCTCAGAGCACACGGCTCATTGAGCGGAAAACGTGGCCAAGCCAGGGCCACATGGGACAACGACCGTCAAGCTACACATATTGCACCAAGGTAAGTGCTTTTCTTTTCACACCTCAATTTAACTTTTTATTCTGAGCAAAAAATAAAACTTTGTGGAAAGTATATATATGTATATATATACACAACAGAAATTGCAGCAATTGGGTTAAAGATAAAATAACCTAAAGTGCTTTTTTATTTTATTATTTCTTTAATATACCAATATGAGGTTCTGCAAACTTGTCCCTCTGGATACATTCAGCATTATACAAAGTCTCTCAGGAAAACCCACCTACCCTCCATTATCCCCATCAGCCCACTGCCTTGACCCTGAAAATAAATCTCCCATCTACCGACTCTCCCAGAGGTGGTGAAGAGAAGCCCCTTGCCTTCCATCCAGAGAGGTTTTCACATCTCAAGGCCTCTCCTGGGCTTTGTACCATGACCTCCTTCTAAAGGTGGGTGGAATTCAATAAATGACACCACTCCTGTCATCAAACCAGTGATGACCCTGTGAGATTGGCCAGACCATGTCAGGAAAAGACTGGGCCACCTTCTCAATGCCTCACTTGCCTGTCTGGGAAGGGCCAAATTCACTAAGGCAGTTTGGTGGTGCCAGCTAGTTTCCTACTACCTCCTAAACCCTGGTGCTGATAAGCCCCCTTAGAAGAAGTAGTCTAATGAAATACTAGCGGGAACTGAAAGTACTGGTTTAATGAGTGAAATGGTCAACGTTACCATGGGAAGAAAAAGAGACTTGATTCCACCTGCTAGAACTCACCCTTCCTAACCTTATCCTAGGCTCATTCCCAGGTTTGGGAAACAATTCTCTTCCTGAAGGTTCTTTCTGGCTTCACTTTGGCAAGAAACCTTCTCTTCTCCAAGGTCCTTGGCACTAGAAGCCAAGCTGATAAAAGGAGAATGGGGAAGGAAGGAATTCTGGATGAGGAAGGAAAGAAAGTCTATCTACCCTGTGGAATAAACCTGCTCTGCACAACCACTTGTAGCATTTGAAGCACATTAATGAATTAATGATTTTTCAAAAGCTGATGGGATCTGATAGTCTTTGTCATTTAAAATCACCCGTAAGAGGCAGATACTTCAACTAGAAAAATCTTGTCAGCCAGAACACTGTTTTAAGATGTTTCTTCACCCACTTCCAAAGTGTAGAGGGTATAAAAGCCACTAACCTGGTTAGGTTCCCAACATGAGCACAACCCTGGCTAACCAGGAAGAAGCAGTATTCAAGCAATAGATGCTTCACATGTCCTTTCCTGGGCTCTTGTTTCCCACCTCAGTTCCCAGACAGGCATGTGGGAAAGTCATCACTACTTTCTGACACAAACTAACTTTGGAGTCCCACTTGCTGGTCTCTCAGAAGCTGTAGAGAAAATAACAAGGGCCATGTTCAAAAGCTTCCTATGAGGCCCAGAGATAGTCAAGGACAACCCATGCTCAGCAGCTGGATTCCCAGGAGGGGTAAACGAAGAATCCTCCTGCCTCATTAATTTCTGCTGAGGTCAATGGTTGCCAAAACCCACCAGTGTTTTGGAAAGGCATGCAGAAGGTCAAATAGAGATCCATTCTCTGGCTAGACTCCTAGAATGAAATCAGCTGCTTGCAGTGAAGCTTGTTTCTCCTCACGCAGTAACAGCACCACCACTATCACCTCCCTCTTGTTCACGCTTGTCCCTGAACATCTTGGCTGAAGGTAGGGCCTCTGACTCCCAGGTAAGTTATCTGCTCTAGATACTGTATTGGCTGGCTGTGAGTCACAGCCCAGACAGCAGAAGTAACCAGTGCAGATCTCTCCTGTCCTGTGTGGGGAACCCTGCTCTTTGCTGAAGGCAGGGAAAGGGTTCTTGGGAGACAGAGGCCTATTCCACACCCTGGGTCATGCCTAGCTTCTGAGCTTGGTGAGCACTCATAACTACATTAAATAGCCTGATGAGAGACACTTTCCATTCTAGTGTGGATTGTATTTTATGTTTTATTTTAAGAGGCAATGACTTGAAGCCAAAGGCAGACAGATGGATATAATTCTATTCACAAATCAAATCAAAAAAATTTTTTTCCTATAATACAACTTAATTAAACATTCCAAATGAGATAACTTATTGCAACATTTCAGGCTTTTTGGTGGAAGGGGAATTTTTTATTTTGTTTTACCCTGAGTAGAAGATCATCGTGGTTTTCTTTTTTTTTTTTTCTTTTTTTCTTTTTTGTTTAGAAATCACATGACTAAGCTGAGCAAGTCACATCCTTGTTTGCACTGTACTAGGCTGTATGCAAAATCCAGAGAGTGAGGGCTGGAGAAAGGAGAGGGCAACCAAAAACCTGGCTAGAACCTGGAACCAGAATACCTGGCCTGCCAATTACCTGCCACCTCATCCACACTCCCTTCAATTTGCACCTTCGCCTGATAAGCAAAACACAGCCATTCTGTTGAGGAGGAAAATATCATTAAAAGGAAGGCAGACCACCATCTGGCAACTGGCCATAAGCCACATGTTCACTCTAGCACAAAACAGGGATGTTCCCCAAGGAAAATTCACTATGACCTGTAAGCCCTGGCAAGCAAACTGAGAGATGGAAAGAACCAGGAAGGCAAAGAGTGTGACTGTGTTGCTAGAGCCTGCTCTGCACACACATCATTGACATACAGCAGTCAACAACTTGCCTGGGCCCTTTCAGAACCAGATCATCCCAAGCTGGTGGACTAGGCTTTAAGTTGCCTATTTGTGCTGAGCACACTGCACGACAGCCCCTGCGGCATCCACCCTGAGCTCTACTGACACCAATAGCAAACAGCAAAGCCATCTCACCCAAACCCTGTCCAAGTCACAGCTGTCTCACTTGCTCTTGCCACTGCCCACTTAGATGGAGTGAAGATCTGGCCTTCTGAGCAGGAGTCAGCCTCAGAGTAAAAGACACACAGGGAGGAGGAGCACCGCCAACACACTGAACTCTACTGCCCATCCACAAAGAGCCCAGTGCCAGTGCTGGGCAGTACCAGATTGATGGAAACCACACCCTTTCATTTAGAATTTTTATGCATACGAGTAACCTTAATTTCCAAGTTCACATGACAATAAGCAAAAGTGACATACAGTGCAGCCAAACAGTTCATTTATAACTTAGCTTTTTTTTTTTTGTTTGTTTTGTTTTTGTTTTTTCCAAAGATCAGTTCCTTAAAATGGATGTTCCTGGGATGTGAATAAAGAAAATACGTCTGAAAGGTGAGGCTTTCAAACAGCAGATTTCTTCATCCTTCTGATTTCTGACCCCATGATGGTAGGCATCACACCTCATGCTTCCTGCTTGCCCTCTTCCTGGAGGTGAGCACACATGGGCCCTTCATTTGGAGAAGCTGGTCAGGCCCATCTCCTCCTCCCCCTGCAGTAGTGCTTCAATGGGAATCAGATTGGACGGGGTGTCCATGCTCTGGAGGGACAGGAACTCTGACACATCCATGGCACTTAACATTTCTGTCTCAGGGTCTGAAGGAGCCTTGGCCTATCTGCTTTGCTCACAGGAAGAGGGTTGTGGAGGATGATGACAGGCGACAGGGGTGAGGAAAAAGTCTGGGGTGGCAGCTGTGGGCTGGGACCATCAGGAGGCTGGGGATTCAGCTCTGGAGGGGGGAAGAACAGCCCTTTCTCCAGGCAGCCACCCACTACTTTGCAGAGTCCCGACATGCACACTGACACTGACACGCCTCCTCTTGTTTGATGATGATCACAGGAACACTGAGGCCAATCTGCTGGACAGAGCTCCCTGTGAGAGAGGCGAGAGAGACTGCTCTTCAAGTAGCTGAGGGCAGAGGCCTGAGGGACAGGGGTGAATGGCCTGTGTGAGGGCTGAGTGCCAAGGAGGCAGGATGCTGGGAAGAATGGGTGCCACACTCCAGGGTTTGTTCTGCTTTAAACTGGACCAGGTTCCTTCTGGGGGCGGGGGAAGGGCTCTGACACTCCCCATCCCTCCAAGACAAAGCCCCTTCCTTAGAGAGCCACACACCCATCTAGATGCACCTTCCTTCTCTGCTATGCCTCTAAGGCAGGCATGGTTGATGCCTCCGTTCTCCTGACATCTTCTTCATACCTCTGGGCCTCTGGGCTCTTCCTTTTGCCTAAACTCCCTCAGGACCATTGTTCTTCTGTAGAACTTGGTCTCATCTTTTAACACCCAGCTGACTGCCCTCCTCTTGCTGCCCAGGCAGTGCTTCCCTGCAGGCTATGCAGAGGCCTGGCTTTGGAGAAACTCTTCCAAGCTGCCTAGTACCCATGCCCAGCACTGCTGCCATCCAGCTGCAGCCCTCTCCACAGGCATAGGACCTATTCAGACTGAGCTCTTCAGGCTGTCCCACTCCTGTGTGGCCCCAGTGTCTGACACATGGTAGACAGAGTGGATCTCCTTTTACATAGCCAGCCTGGCGTGGGTACACGTTCATATTCACTCTCATTGTCTCTCTCATGTGTGCTGTGCACTCTGAATTCGGCCCAGAATTCAGCCAGGCCATGTGTCTCAACAGAGGCAAAGAGCAAGGAACAGGAGAGAAGGGTGGGGCCAAGGAGGCCTGAGAGCTAGTGCTCTGGCTTTCCCACAAGTTCACTTATGACCTTGAGGGAGTCATTTAATTTGTTTGGGTCCCAGTTTCTTAATCCACAAAAGAAAGAGTTTAAAATTAAAGGATCTTTCCGCTATGCATGAGTCTCTGACCCAGATGCTATTTCTTCCTTACTGTAATTAGAAAAGAGTCCAGTGAATTAACAACTGCCCTCTTTAGCATTAACTGTGATTCAAAAATTTTTCCTGGCTTATGTTTAAAAGATGTATCTGAAAGGAAAAGAACTCTAGGTAAAGAATGATAAACATGGAATTATACTAGAATTACATTAACTTCCAGTAGTTGTGAAACATGAAATATGCTAATAAACAGTACAATGGGGATTTAATTGAGGCTGTTTAAAGACTTTCGAAGTTTTAAAAACCAGGGCAAAGCAATAATTTACTCTGACTCAAGGGGCCCAGGGAGTTGACTTTCTTTTAAAGCTAACATGGAGTTACATACCTGTGCTACTGGCTACTGGTACTGCAGTGGTAAAAAACACCTTCTCAACTTTAGATGCTTGTTGCTGGGGGAAAAAAAAAATCACACTTATGGCCAGTCAAATATGGCAGACATCCAAAGTCCTGAAGCCTCCCATCCAAGAGGACAGAAACTCTTCAGTGTTTAGGGAATTTTGTACTGAGTGATGTTTTGTTTGTGCTCTGACATGAGGCCTCTGTACTGTTTGACATTCCATCCTGACAATGTAGCTAGCTGGCTATCTCCCAGCTGCCTAATCCAGTGGGTTCTGCATGTTCAAAGGCTTCTTCAAGGTTTTTTTTTTTTTTCAAGCTGACGGTCTCCTCAGAGGGAGCCTAAGGCTAGCTTTCCCTGTAGGCTACCCACTCCTCTATCCTATTCTGTGAAAACTGGAAAGTTCTTTTCTTCCTCTCAGGGATTAAGCTGAATGCTAAGGAACTTACATGTTTCTCAGTTTTCTGCATGTTTCAGAAAATGCAGTGTGCAACCAGGCATATACTCGGCTCTCAAAGGACATTGAAATGAATGAGTCATCAGACCAAATGCTTCCTTATCACACTAATATACTTCCTATTAAATTGACTAAAGGGTTTCTGTTTTCTTCATTTTTTATTCCTTAAAAAAAAAAAATGCGTCAGGATGATCTGAGACAAAGTGAAAGTCTCTGGCTAAGTTATAGGAGATGACACTATAAAACAAGCTGAAAACATGAGACCCCTATTTATTATGTGGAAGAAGAATGACACTTGTTTCATGCAGGGGGGTGGGGGGGACACCAAATCTATGGAGGCAGATTGGATCACAACACTGAAAAGGCCTTTTCATGACGCTGCCTATCTATAATGGAAACAGGATGTCTTGAGAACTGGTTGGCACGCCATTTCTGAAATTTGAGTGTTCAAATTATTTAGTCCGAAGCTACTTTTCCAGTTTATTTATATCTACCTACAAATTCTCCTACCGGGTATATCCTTTTTTCTATCCAGTTTCTACCCATGTCAAGGCTCACCTGATCTGTGTGACACCCAATAATTCCTTCCCCTTAGTGTATGAATCCCTCATCTAGCCACACAACGTAAAAACCAAGAGCACAGGCTCTGGGGTTGGTCTACCTATGCTCAAATCCCAGCTTTTCCTCTGTAAGTTGTGTGATCTTGGGCTAGTCACATAACCTCTCTGGACCTTAGCTATCCACTACTAAAACCACACCTGTCTCCTAGGATTGTTGTAATGTGTTAAGTTCTTGTTAACACAGTATATGACATATAGAGATACATACTGAGGCAGTAAGAACTGTGTCGGGGGGGGGTGAAGTATATATGGGTACTATCTGTTCAATAAAATCTAAAAATTATGTAAGTAAAAAATAATGTATATAAGTAATGATTGGCACATGTTAGACCTTCAGTTTATAAAAATCTTAAGTTAGGTGTGGTGGCATGTGCCTACAGTCCCAGCTATTAGGAGACTGAGGCAGGAGAATTGCTTGAGCCTAGGAGTTCAAGATTAGCCTAGGCAACACAGTGAGACTCTGCTCAAGAAAAAAAAGGAAAGCAAGAAGGAAGAAGGAAAGGGTTCAATAAATAAGAGCTGCTTTTTTTTTGTTTTGTTTTTAATCACTATTATTGTCATTTGGCACTTTACTAGTAATATGAACTTTCTTTTAGGCATTTCAGCAATTTTAACCTGAATGTAAGTCTTTATGGAAAAAGAAATCATGTTTCTCAGTTTTCTGCATGTTTCAGAAAATGCAGTGTGTAACCAGGCATATAGTTGGCTCTCAAGGGACATTGAAATGAATAAGTCATCAGATCAAATGCTTCCTTAGAAAATGGTTTTAAGGGAGGAGGGATGTGGCTCAGTGGTACAGGGGTTGCCTAGCATGCATAAGGCCTGGGTTCAATTCCCAACACTGCAAAAGAAAAGAAAATGGCTCTAGTGGCTTTAGGATAAGCTCTGAGAGCATAGTTTATTTGTTTCACTTGGTCATTGCTGTCTGGTTATGTGTGACTCAGTCACATCAGTCCCTTGTATCAGTCTTGGGGACAACCTGATTTTCTAAAATATTCTTGAGTCTCTGGAGTCTGTTGACTGCTTTCCTGTACTAGATGATGTGATTAAACTGCAGATAGAATATTCTTTCAAGTGTCTACTGCTAGGTAAACTTAAAGATTGTTTCTCTGCCTCTTTATCACAGGTGCTGACCACAGCATTCCCTGTATTTATACCATTTGACTATGGAGAAAATAACTACAAGGGGTAATTACACATTTCAGGGTAGACATGCTAGCCATTTCCCTTTTTGCAATAAAAGCCTCTGAACACATCACCCCTGTATATACACTTCACTCCACTGGGTATATTTATATGGAATACTTACAATTTGTTCTTGGTTTTGTGGTGAACTGGTGGCACCATTTAATATCCATTGTAAGTTCTGTTCTCCCATAACTAGGCTGGGCTGCAGGATAGCCGTGTTGGGAGTTGGGGTGATGGTTATGGTGGGATTATTAGTTAGGACAGAGTTGGCACCCAGAGGCAGAGTCTGGACCATGGCTGGCAAGGGCTCAGTAGTACTTTGTGGTGGGGCTGGTGTTGCCACGGCCGATGCCACCGCCGCTGCTGATGCAGAAGCCCCAGCAACAACGGAAAGTCCTGGTACGATGGGCTGCGGTGCCTGGGGATGCGGAAGAAACTCTTGATGATTAGCAGCAAACTGCGCGCTGTGGGGAACAGGCACTTCTGGAGGTTGTAAGAGAGCAGGGGGGTTGCCAAATGCAGCTTGCTGGGAACCGGGTCCTAGGGAGGGAGCAGGTGGAGGAGCGGACGGAGCTGAGGCTGGCAGCAGAGGCTGGGGTGGCTCGGAGAGGCCAGGCTGCAGTACAAGCGGAAGAGATAAAGATGCTGAATTTCCTGCAGGTGGTGGAACATCACTGACTGATTCTGCATCACCATTAAAACTTTCAATCAAGGCAGCTGGCAAGAAAAAGAAATAGAAACATATATCCATATCCCAAGTTTTACATGAGCCACAAAAACACAGTTATTATGGGCTAAACAGGACAGTGACAGTTGGCTGCAGCCAATTCCTTTACAGCTAGTAGGCTGGCTTTCTGCTTTCATTTAGTGACACCTCTGGTCAATGTAACAGGTTTCATGATCAACCATTCTTCCTCAATGTGATAATCTAGTAAAAGTTTTATGATTTTAAAAAAATGTGTACTAAGTTCTTTCTGGAAGAGACTAGGCATTCTTTTCTGGACATGACTATTCAGTATAGTTTGCGACGACTGTGAAGCTTTATAGACAGATTACCGTTCAAACACAATAGGATTTAAGCCTGGTTAGTAGGTCCTACCCATGTATGAACAGGGCATCACATCTAAAGGCAAAGTTCACAGCTCCTACTTAAAGCCAAAAAGAGATTCTGGAAAAAGAAACCCTTTTCTTCCAGACCCAAGAAAAGTTGCAAGAACAGATGGAACTGAAATGAAAGGCCCATCCTTCTCTGACCCTCCACAGAAGGTCTGCTTCTTTTAAGCTAATTGAAATATTTCATTGTGCCTGTAATTTGGTATGTCAACAAGTGAACCCCCTTTCCCAGGGCTGAGATGTGAGCAGAAAGAGTCTGTGTAACCAACCTGTCTGCTGAGGATCTTCCTGAATTGCTGATTCATCTGAATTCTGGAACATCGATTCAAAGATGACTGCTGGTGAAATTGTGCTGAGGTCCTGGCCCTGTGTCTGATCAAGAGAGACAGAGATGTGACACTCTCCATCCTGAGACAATTCCTCACCACCAGAGAGTATATTCAGGGTGGCTGAACTAGAATGATTTTTTGGTATGCTTCTTGTTTCTACCTTCTCATATTTCAAGTGACATGCATTTCCCTAAAACTTAAGATACTGAAGATATGGGTCTTCAGGAGCTAGCAAGTTATGACTTGTAGGTTGATTTCCGGTTTTTATAAATAAAAGTTTTACAGGAACACAGGCACACTCATTCATTGATAGATTATGCTGCTTTCATGATATACCTGCAGAGCTGAAAAGTTGTGACAGAGATCATGTGGTCCATAGGTTCTAAAACATTTACTAACTGGCCCTTTATAAGAAAGGCTTGCCAATCTCTGTTCTAAAAGAGCAAATCCCACATAAAATGGGATTATATAATATCCATTACTGCTATTTTTTTTGTCCTTTCTGAAACTCATATTAGAGTTTAATCCCCTTTATGAGCTATTGAAGGGTACCTCACACTATGGTGTTTAGAGGGGGACCTTTGGATAGTGATTAGGATTAGACAAGGTCATCTGGATGGAGCCTCCTTGATGAAATACTAGTGGCTTTACCAGAAGGAAAGAGACCAGGATATACACACATGCACACTTCCTGTCTCTCACCACATGATGCCCTACACCACCTCAGGGTTCTGCCAGCAAGAAGACCATCAACCAGTGTGGCCCGTCAACTTTGAACATCTAGAATCATGAGCCAAAGTAACACACTTTTCTTTAAAATAGTCTGGAGCCAGGCACAGTGGCACCTGTAATCCCAGCAACTCCAGAGGCTGAAGCAGGAGGATTGCAAGTTTGAGGGCAGCCTCAGCCTCAACAACTTAGGAGGCTGTATACAACTTAGTGAGACCCCATCTCAAAAATAACAACAACAATAACAAAAAGGACTGGGGGTGCTGGGGTTGTGGTTCAGTGGTAGAGCACTTGCCTAGCATGTGTGAGGCATTGGGTTCGAGTGTCAGCATCACATATAAATAAATAAAATAAATATTCATAGTCAACTGAAAAAAATATATAGTTATTTAAAAAAAAAAAGGAAAGAAAGAAAAGGACTGGGGGTATAGCTGAGTGGTAAAGCACCTCTGGGTTCAATCTCAGTACCAGGAATAAATAGATAGATAGAGAGATAGATACATACATACATACATACATAAAACTTAGCCTATGGTACTTTTGTAATTAGCAACAGAAAATAGACCAAGACAATTGCCATCCAACTTGCCTTTCTCAGGTAATAATGACACTGAAAATGTCTTTTTTTTTTTTTTTTAAAGAGAGAGTGAGAGAGGGAGGGAGGGAGGGAGAGGGAGAGAGAGAGAGAGAGAGAGAATTTTAATATTTATTTTTTAGTTCTCGGCGGACACAACATCTCTGTTTGTATGTGGTGCTGAGGATGGAACCCGGGCCGCACGCATGCCAGGAGAATGCGCTACCGCTTGAGCCACATCCCCAGCCCCACTGTAAATGTCTTTCAGAGTCATTACATTTTATCTGTGATATTCTAATGTGTATATGTGATAAAAAAAATCATAAAAAATCAAACAATACAAAGAAACTTAAATAGTGATGCCCTTAATAAAACACTAGCAGCACTTAAAAAACAAAGTGAACCAGGGTGGAGGTGGGTGAGGAGGACACAGCACGATGCCCTGGAGGGCCTAACTACTAATATTCACTAAATAAAATGACCACTCTTTATTTTAGTTAAGGGGAGGGGAAAACTGCAATTCTTTTATCTACAATCCACTTCCACTCTGCATTCTGCAGGGCAAGAGTGTCAAAGGCAACTGCCTACAGAAGTCCAGGCGAGCAAGAGAAATGAGTGAAGCTGGATGTGGCACACCTGAACAGATGCACCTCAGCTGTCCTCAGGGTTCAGCTGAATGCTGCCAGGATCACCAGAGCTCAAGATGAGGCTGAAATCTGGAGTTTTAAGGTGAAATCTACTAACTTATAAATAAAAGCAAGTGATTTTGAATCTAAGAGTACTGACCAATCTAAAACCTATCTTCAGGTCAGATCTCCCCAGTGCCAACTAGTGTTTCTGGGTTGTTTTTCAACAACTCTGCTTCTGGGAAGGAGAACTCAAGGACTGCTCAGGGCTGGGTAGAATCATGGTAAACTGAGGACAGCTCTCCAATATGAAGGTCCTGAGATGAAAATGTCCATGAGAGCCAAGAGGGACCAATTATTCCATCTGGAATATTTCAGCTGGAGAATGAAGGAGGAAGTTCAGTAATTCTGATTGCTAGTAGGATAAAAGCTGAAGGCAGAAAATTATGCAGGACTTCTAACTTCCAGTCCAGGGGGAATTAAGATTCAAAGCCAAGAGTACGGCTTTCAAATTTTTCATTGTGACACAAAGAAATACATTTTACAATCTGGGTGTGGTGGCACATACATGTCTGTAATCCCAGTGACTTGGGAGGCTGAGGCAGGAGGATTGCAAGGTCAAGGCCAGCCCCAGCAATTTAATAAGGCCCTGAGCAATTTAGCAAAATGCTGTCTCAAAAGTAAAAAAAAAAAAAAATTAAAAGGGCTGGGGATGTGGCTTAGTGGTCAAGTGCCCCTGGGTTTAACCCCTAGTACCAAAAAACAAAACAAACAAGAAAATTTTTATATCACACACACACTCTATCATACACATTTATCTGCACAAATGGCTAATAACTACCATTAAGCTGTAAGCTTTGTAGTTTACTCATGGTTATTATTTTTGTTCTACCTATTTATAAATCCTTATTAGTAATTAACAACAGTAAAAAGGAATGAGTTGTATTTGTCAATAATATCTATATAACTTTGCAAAGGCTGGGGAGGAATAGCCTATATGCCTCCAAAAGTTGGGCAAGAATATTCATAGCAGCACTCTTCATAATGGCTCCAAACTAGAAAGAAAAAGAACAGTGGGGTATCTTTATTTAGTTTAACACTGTTCAACAACCAAATGAATGATCTGTAACTATATGCAACAATATGCATTAAATTCCTAAACATATGTTGCAAGAAAAAAGCCAGATGAAAAGTCTACAATTCCAACTACAAAAGCAGAAAAATTAAGATGTTAGAAGTCAAGACAGTGGTTATCCTTAAGGAGAGAGAATGGCTACTGAGGGGCAGGGTGCAGGAGTGCTGGGAACATCTCGGTGAAATAAACTGTGATCCATCAAACTGTGCATTTATGATACCTTGCCCTTTTCTGTGAAAAGTGCTAAGTCACTGCCAGGCTTCAGGTTAGAATCCCTAGGAATAAGTGGGACTGGCTTTCAAAACTAGAGGAGACAGAATAGCCTGAGCGTCTGGGTCCTGGAGCACAGAGTAGAAGAACACTGGATCCTAAAACTAAGCAAACAAAAGACCCAATCAGCCATTCCTTAGCAGCTCCAACCCTCCTTTAACAAAGGGTCTGAGTGAACCAAAGTTCATTTCCTTTTTGTTTTTTTTTGGTGCTGGGAATCCAACCCAGGCCTTGTGCATGCAATGCAAGCACTCTACCAACTGAGCTATAACCCCAGCCCCCAAAGTTCATTCCTAAGACATGCACGCATTATGTGGAAGAACTCTGAAACTGGCAAAGTGATTATCTCATACAAATTTGCCATCAAGTTCTAATTTTTAAAAAGCAAAGCAAAATTAATCCCACTGCTTCAAGGAACTGTGGCCTTTGTTTGAAAGAATAAAAGCAAACTCTTTCTAAATCTGGAATAAATGCTGGGTCCAGGGGCATAATATATAGTTAGACTCCAAGGGAGAGGGTTTCTCTCTCTTGATTATGTAAATTGTGGTAGAAAAGTAATCTTTTTTTTTTTAAGACAAGTTATTATTTTCTCCTTATACCAGGTATTTCCCTGGTGACCTGAGGACGCTGGAAAGCCCCTCAGTCACATGTCACAGCCCTGACCAGAGTGGATGCCCTAAGCCATTTAACAGTTAAATGTTAAAGAAATATTATACCCAAAATCTTAGGTTAGGTAATTCACAGGGCATCTAGACCACCAAGTGTGTAAATTTCTTTCAGAACTAATGTTCTAAAATAGAAATAAAATAAAATATGCACATGAAGTGCTTTATTTTTTCTCTTTATTCTTCAGATTGATCTATCTTCAATTTAACAAATCAATCCTTTCTTCCTACCTTTTCTTTTTGGTTCTGGGGATGGAACCCAGGGCCTCTACACATGCTAGGCAAGCACTCTATCACTGACCTACATTCCCTAGCCTTTTATATTTTTTATTTTAACACAGGGTCTTGCTAAGTTACCCAGCCTGGCCTTGAACTTGGGATCCTCCTGTATCAGCCTTCCAAGTAGTTGGGATTGCAGGTGGGTGCAACTGCACCTGTTGCCCTTTTGGTTTTAAACCAGTGTCTTCACATACTTGCTTTTTATGTTTTATCCAGTGTTTATAACTGTTTTCTGTGGGAGGGCTGGTTTCATAAGAACAACTCTGCCATTACCAGAAGGAGAATCCAGGCCATAGGGTGCTTATATAAAAATGCAGCTCAGATGCCACTCCCAGAAACACTGACTCAGTAGGCTTAGGGAGAGGCCCAAGAACCTACATGTTTAATTAATTACTTAATTTTTATATTTTTGAGATGAAATCTCCTTATGTTGTCCAGGCTGGTCTCAAACTCCTGGGCTCCTGTGATCCTCCTGTCTCAGCCTCCAGAGTAGCTGAGATTATAGGTATGACTATCATGGCCAGTTAAAAACCTGCATTTTAAAAAGTGCTGCAGTTGGGCTGGGGATGTGGCTCAAGTGGTAGTACGCTCGCCTGGCATGCGTGCGGCCCGGGTTCGATCCTCAGCACCACATACCAACAAAGATGTTGTGTCTGCCGAGAACTAAAAAATAAATATTAAAAAAAATTCTCTCTCTCTCCTCTCTCTTTAAAAAAAAAAATTCTCTCTCTCTTTAAAAAAAAAAAAAAAAAGAAGTGCTGCAGTTGAATCCACTAACCATACTTTAATAAACACTTTTCATAGCATTCCTAAATCCTTCAGTTTCTATTCAAATACTTTCAATTACATTTATTCATTATGCATACAGTGACAGAAAATCTAGCCTAAGTTGTTGTTCTTTTCTAGGAAAGAACAAACTCTAAATTAGTGTTGGCAACACAGGAAAATATTCAGATTTTATGAAAGAAGACCACATAAATTCAGACTCGATGCAGTGGTTTGTAAGTACTATCATGGAGTCATGGAAATGGCAAGAAACTTCCTACTGGTGTGAATCAAAGTAATCAGATTGAGATAGAGTGGGCTTGTCCTGTTACAGAGTCCTCTATAGAAGTTCCCTTCAAAAACTCATTAAGGTGAGTTTAAAGGAGAAAAGAGACTAAGCCAGATCACTCAGGCAGAGTTTGAGAAGGTCTAGAAACTGGACTTTCTGGCTACATCTTACAATGCTAGACTTCAGACTCCTCAAAGACAATCCATACCTTCTTTGTTGCCACTATCAGCTCAGCACTGGCACAATGCCTGATTAAGTAGTATTCAATCAATATTTGCTAAATGAATTTTAAATAGGAAAAAAGAAAAAAAGAAACTTTCTGGGGCCAAGAGGCTATCAACTGAGTGACCTGGGTCAAAAGGCATTAGGTGACAGAACAATTTTTCCTGATAAAAATCTGATCAGCAGAAAGAGGAAAAAAAAAATCCTAAATGGTCAGTGATTAAGCCCAATTAAATCTAAAAGACTTCAGTCTGGTCTTCCTCAATTATCCACCAAAGGGAATGCTCGACTCTTGCATCTATATTTCTAGCACCCACACCCCAGGTACACTTACAGTATTGGAATTTTCTTGCAGTTCTGAATCTGTGGACAGAAGGCACAAGTCACTCAGGTAAAGTGAGTGATTTGTATCCTGTGAAAGAGAAAAAAAAATTAATTTAAGTAACATAAATCAGGATTTATACACACAGTATTACATAACAATTTTTGATTATAAATTCCTTAAGGTTCTAAATGTCTGTGTGTTACCTGTATGAACCATCCAAAGAAAGACCTAAGTAGATTGTTTCACTTTTTAAAATCTCCATATTCTTTTTTTTTTTTGGTAACGGGGATTAAACTCAGGGGCATTTGACCACTGAGCCACATCCCCAGCCCTGTTTTGTATTTTATTTAGAGACAAGGTCTCACTGAGTTGCTTAGCATCTAGCTGTTGCTGAAGCTTGCTTTGAACTCTCAATCCTCCTGTCTCAACCTCCCAAGGTGCTGGGATAACAATCGTAAGCCACTGTGCCCAGCTCCATATTCTTTTTTTTTTTTTGGTACTGGGGATTGAAAGCAGGGGTGCTTACCCACTGAGCCACATCGCCAGCCCTGCCCTTTTAAATATTTTTAAAAGATGGTTAAAAAGAATTTAAATATTTTTTTAGTTGGAGACAGACACAATACCTTTATTTTATTTTTTATTTTTATGTGGCGCTAGGCGTTAAGGATTGAACCCAATGTCTCACACATGCTAGGCAAATGCTCTACCAGCTGAGCTACAACCCCAGTCCCTCAGCCCTTTTTGCACTTTTTATTTTGAGTCAGGGCCTTGCTAAGTTGCTTAGGACCTTACCAAGTTGCCCAGGCTGGCCTCCAAATTGCAATCCTCCTGCCTCAGTCTCCTGGGCTGCTGGGATTACAGGCATGCACCACTACACCCAGCTAAATATCTCCATATTCCTAAGAGAAACTCTTATATTTTTAAAAGATGGTTAAAAAGAATTCTTAAATTATCTCACAACCCAGGTTAAGTAACAAAAACTATCAAATTCATAATATTTGTATAATTGTTTTCATCATTTCCAAAGTGATATCACAAGATTCATTTGCTATTCATATAAACCCTGGAAGTATTATTGTCTACCTCATTTGAAATATGAGAAAATTAATGCTATGACAGTTGGAGTGATATGCCCCAAACACATAGCTAATTAGCATTAGATAAACCTAGGGCTTCTGACTGAAAAGTCAACACTCCTTCCATTATATCACATGTCTCCAACATAGGTACCTGAGAGTTCCTTACTCAGAAAGTACTGAGGATTAACTATTCAAATTCTGCTGCTCGGGCTAACTCTGAGCTCTGGATTCTAGAATGTCAGTCTCAATTCATATGCTTTAGGTGGTGACCCTGCTTACCTCAAGTGGATCAGATAGTCCCACTCAAGCATGCATGCATTTAACACATATAGTGGTCCCCCCTTATCTATAGTTCTACTTTTCAAATTCAGTTACCCAGGGGCAACTGTGGTCCAAAAATGTTAAACTCCAGAAATAAATGACTCCTAAGTTTTAAATTGTGCATCATTCTGAGTAGTGTGATGAAATCTTGTGCCATCCATTTCTACCCCCTTTATCCAGGCTGCACACACTACAGACATCTAGATAATGAGATCAAATGTCGTAGTGGTACAGTGCTTGCAATCTAGTATCACTTATCTTACTTAATAATGGCAGTGAAGCTGGCAATCTAATTATAATATGTTATTACTGTTATAGTATTGTTGCCAATTTCTTACTGTGTCTAATTTATACATTAAGCTTAAGCATAGATATGTAAGTACAGAAAAAAGTATTTATAGGGTTCAGTATTATCTGCAGTTTTAGGCATCCACTGGGAAGCTTAGAACATGTCCCCTGAAGGTAAAGGGGAACTACTGTATTCATTGAGCATCTAAGATGTATTAGGCACTCTTCCAGGCCTAGGAATACAATAGTGAAAAAAAACTGAGTCTCTTCCCTCCCTATACAGCTTACATTCTAGTAAGGACAAATAATAATAAATATACAGGGGCTGGGGATGTGGCTCAAGCAGTAGCGCGCTCGCCTGGCATGCGTGTGACCCAGGTTCGATCCTCAGCACCAAATACCAACAAAGATGTTGTGTCTGCCAAGAACTAAACAAATAAAATAAATAAATATTTAAAAAAATAATAATAATAAATATACAGTATACAAGATGATACAAATGCTAGGGAGAGTAGGAATGCTGGGGTAGTTGTTTTTATATTAGAAGTTTAATGCCCCTCAGATAAATGAAATCTGAGCAGAGAAAAGAGAACATGGGCCATGCATGTATTTAGGAAAAGTGTTCAAGCAGAGGGTACAATAAGAAAAACCTGGCGGTAAGAGTGGGCTTTCCTTGGTTTAAGGAACCACACAGAGGACAATACAGCTAAAGAAAGAGGAAGAGAAATAGATGAGATCAGAAAAGTGACAAGGCCAGGGAGCATAGGACCACTGTAAGATTTTGATTTTACTCTAAATGATACAAGCTGCTTCTCTGGAGGGGTTACGAGCAGACAACAAGCAATATCTGTGTCACAGTCTAGAAAGACTGCTCTGGCTACATATAGAATAGTCTGCAGTAGACTGGGATGGGAAGTAGAAGAAGAGGAGAAAAGGCTTAGCAAATTATTCCATCAATCCAGGCAAGAAGCTAATGAGTGAAACAATCAGAAAAGTGATCAGGTTCTAGATATATTTTCAAGGTGGAGCTGATAGTCTTTGCTAGTGGACATGGGGTGTGAGGAGAAGAAAGGAGTCAGGAGGAATTTTGGCCTCTGCCACTAGAAATTACTTGCCTATTTACTAAGACACAAAGTCTGCAGAAGGAACAGTTTTGGCCATGTTAGGTTTTAGAAGATGAGATATTATCTGGGTGGAGGCATGGAGTAGATGGTTTAATATGCAAGTGTGTGGAGTTCAGGGGGAGACCAGATGGGAGATATCAATGTAGGACTTGAAGGCAACATAGATGGCATGTGAGGCCTGAGAGTAGGAAACATCCCTCTACTGGAAAATGACGAAGGATTCAGAGAAGATGAACTGTGAGGACTGAGCAGTGATACACTACTCCAGTGCTCAGAGGTTGTTGGCAGTTAAACTAGCCATGGAGAAAACTGAGAAATTGAGAATTAAGAAAACTGACTGTGACTAATGAAATGCAGCTTAGTACAGAAAGACTCCCATGTTTAAATTTTCTATTTGGCTTTTACAGATGAAAAAACTAAGGCACAAGAAGTCATCTGCCTAAGGTCATGTGATTAGTGACTGAACCTGGATTTGAATCCACATAGCTGTGCTCTACAGGCTACCTTCTTCACAGCTAAGGCTATTCTGTCTCTCACAACACAAGGGTTAAGAACCAGGCTCTGGAATCACACTGCCTGCCTGCCTAAATTAGACTAATTATAAGTTCTGGATATTTAGGCAAGTTATTTAATTTCTCTTTGCCTCAGTTTCTTAATTAGTAACATGGGGATGATTAGTAACACCCTCATAGAGTTCTTGTAGATAATACATATAAAAGCACTTAGCAAGTTTCCTGGCACATACTTAACATTCAGTAAGTGTTAGCTAATATTACTAATGAAACTCGGGGACTGGAGAAGAATCCTTTTAAATGGATTCTTTATTGTTTAAAAATTGGAAGCTCTAGAATTAGAATATTCTGTCTCTACCGAAATCAAAATCATGCTATATATTTTAAAAGCATTCCAAAGAAAGTCAGTGAATTTGCAAGTCTGAAGTTCAGAGACCAGGCTGGAGACTCAATGGCAATACAAGTGGCATGGCCTAGATAGAGGCGATTCCCTTCTTCTGGAGAATGAACATGGATGCAGAGAAGATGGGAGGCAAATTGGTGGGGAGGTAGAAGGCAGGAGGAAAAGCTGCTAAAAAGCCCACTTAGCCCATTATTCCAATAATCCAGGCTGGGGTGGGGAGAAATGGATTGAACAAAAATGTAATCAGAATAAGTCATCAGATTCTAGATATATTCTCAAGGTACAACTGAAGACTTTGCTCTATCAGCTTCAGTTTCTTTATCCATAAAACAATAAGAAAATAATAGCACTTACTTTTCAGGCTTAATAGGTCAGTGCTTAAACCCTATTAAAAGTAATAACAGTAAATACTGATCCCAAGATCTTTCTGGAATGGAGTGGTAGCTTCAGGGGACCAGGAAATATGGAGGGACTCAGTAAAGAAAATTAAACAAAACCTAAAACTCCTCAGAGGCTTATTCTGTGGCTCAGTGTCTTAAGCTAGTAACTCTTAAAACTTTTGGTTTACAAACACTTCAAACAGGCCAGGACAAGAGATTCTTCTCCAGCCTTTGCTTGGCTCTCTAATGACAGGTTGTGTGAAGAACATAAATTTATGTCCCAAACTCAAGTACCTATTTGCCACTTTATAGGTATAAAGATGGAAGAGGACACTCTGTAGAGCATCTGGCTGACCCTTTGAAAGCCACTCTGAGACCTCTGGGTTCAAGGGCACCTTCTTCCACCATACCTGATGGAAATGAGGCAGAGCTGAAGAAGAGACTAAAGGATAGGATGTCTGGTGAGATTTCTGGCTTCCACCACCACTCCATTGCAAAGCCATAGATTTTGACCCTGATTTCTCCCCTCTCAATATCAAATATGTAAAGAAGACATTTCAACCTTTTTTGTGTGAGACACAAACAGTTGCTGTTTTGTGATGCGCAGATCAAAACAAGAGAGAAGATCACTGCGCACCTCTGATCCGTTGTGTTGTGGAAGTGCATTGTATGAGTGTCCTTTGTTATCATGACCTTTCATGTGACTTTTGAGACTGTATTGAGTGCTGAACGTTTTCTCACAGCCATTACTGGGGCAGAAGAAGGGTCTTTCACCTGCAAGAATGACAAAGTAGTGTTAATTTCACCATAAACTCATTTAGCTGGTTTAAGAACCTACCTTTTCCTAATGGGGGGGAAGTAAAATTCTTATGAGGGTTTGGGTAATAGTTGTTAAAAGGTGAGTAAACTACATGCTAATTGTCTCAGTTCTGAAACTTAATGCAGAGCAAAGCACAGGATATAGCTCACTCCTGAAAGTTTTTTATCTTTAATTTTTAAAAATATTTTTCTTGGGCTAGGGTGGTGGCTCAGTGGCAGAGCGCTTGCCTTGCACATGTGAGGCACTGGGTTCGATCCTCAACATCACATTTTAAAAAATAAATAAATAAATAAAGATATTGTGTCCATGTATAGCTAAAAAAATATTTTTAAAAAATATTTTTCTTTAGCTGAAGATGGACACAATGACTTTTATTTTATTTGTTTATGTTTATGTGGAGGATCGAACCCAGTGTCTCACACATGCTGGGTGAGCACTCTACCACTGAGCCACAACCCCAGCCTACCCAGGAAGTTTAAAGGGAAGATCCACTTTCTTACAGGTTCTTTTTAAAAGAATATTTCTGTACTGGTTTCATTTCTTAAAGTTGGATTCCTGAGTTCAACCTTTAGATTCTTTCACCTCTGAAAGAAACTCAAACATTATTAGGTGAAGGCTAAGCTGATTAGGCTCACTCCTCCCACCTAGTTTAACAGGTCTCAATGGAAACACACATACTTAGTTATAGGCTTGATGCAGGTTAAAATGAAAAATAGAAACTAGCCTCAACTTACCGGTATGTGTACGGACATGAGTTTTAAGGTGGTGGCTTGCTGCAAATGCTTTTCCACAGCCATCATGATCACATCTAAACAAGTTGTTAAAGCAAAGAGAAACAGAGTCATTAGCTAAGAGTCCTTAATCTTCAACATCTCTTGTAAATGCAAACTATACATTCAAAACACTAAGATTAGATCAATAAAACTGATTTTAGAGATGGCAATGATGGGAGGCCCCTGAAAGACAAGGTGGCACATCTGGGATCAGAGGCAGCAGAGAGCTCAGGATAAGTTCTTCTAGTCTGGTAGGTAAGGCCCAGTTAAGAAGCTGATACAAAAGTCTTTAGTTAATTACTTAAGAGAACTCTACTGACAGAGCCCACGTGGAAAATCTACAGTAAAATATTACAAATATCAAGAGTGGGTAAAGAGGCCATCATATATGCACAAGGTTGAAATACAACCTTAGAACATAATCCATTACAACAGTTTGGCTATCACCTGTAATCTTCAGTGTACAGACTCATTTCTTTCTCTTTTACTTTCTTGATTTTTTTTCTTGGTGATATAGGGAGTTGAACCCAGACTTGTGCAATTATGGGCAAGTGCTTTACCACTGAGCTACATCATCAGCCCTCCCTTTTACTTTCTTTGTAATCAAAGCTAGAATTAACCTTTCCCTCCTTAGAATTACTAAGACAAAGCATTTATCTACATGCTTCTTTTACAGCATCTCTCAATTCTAATCTTGTTTTATCTCTCTGTGTATACACTTATTATCTGTTCTCCTAGATAGTAAACTCTATAAGGGCAGGGTCCACATAGCCCTTCATATTTGCTGTTGTTTTTGCACACATTTAATAATTATGTGAACATTTAATAATTATGTATATTAACAAATCCATTTTTTAATTCAAAATATCTTATTTCTTTGAAGCAGAAAGCTTCTCTAAGGCATTTTTTGGGGAGGAAGGTACCAGGAATTGAACTCAGGGGCACTTGACCACTGAGCCACATCCCCAGCTCTATTTTGTATTTTGTTTAGAGACAGGGTCTCACTGAGTTGCTTAATGCCTCACTTTTGCTGAGGCTGGCTTTGAACTCAAAATCCTCTTGCTTCAGCCTCCCAAGCCCTGGAATTACAGGTGTGCACCACCATGCCTGGCTGGCACTTTCATTTTTTAAATTACATATAATCATTATCATTGTCTAAAATCCCATCTAATATTCATGAAAAAAAAAAGTTTTAATCATCACAAAAATAAATGCATATGCCTAGACAGAAATCATAATCCTCTCAGCAGCCTATGTGGGGGGGAGAAAAAACAACATAAGCTTCACAGCAACTGCAGAATAACTAACTAGAATTTAACCACTCTTGTTCTTAAAGGGGCCATGACTCCAAAGTGGCACCTGTTATTTATTTATTTATTTATCTATATTTTTTTATTTTTTATTTTTTTTATTAGTTACACATGACAGTACATCTGTAATTTAAAAAGTTAGTTCCGTTTAATTGATATCTAAAAGCTGACTGTATCTGAAGACTTTTAAATTGTTTCTAAGTGTTCTGATGAGGAGATGAGTGATTTGAGAATGGACAGGTAGATATTTAATGCCTTGAATATAATAGCAATATCTCCTGACAAAATTAAAAAATACTGTTTATGGGAAATCTTTGGCAACACATTTATATTACACTAAGGGGGATTCTTACAAAACAATTATCTCATAGAAATGTCATATAATCATTTCATAGATGTTTCTGAGGGTCTACTGAATGACTGGAACCATGCTACATGTTATGAACAGGAAAGCAAGCAGATGAAACAAGTCCCTCCTTCAGGTTTATAAATTTGTTTCACGAATATATATGTGTATATGTACACTAATATATATGTAAAATGGATGGTCCAGTGTGTGTGTGTATACACGTGTGAGATATTACAAAGCAACAACTGAACAAATAACAAAACACAATACTTCACCACTAACTTAAGCATTCCTACCTCTCACTTTCCCTTGTGTCCCTCCTCTCCTTGCCCCGCTTCAATTACTTTTTTTTTTTGTACTGGGGACTGAACCCAGGGCTTTGCACACTGAATACTGAGCTACAGACTCAGCTCTTTTTATTTTATTTTTAGGGTCTCACACTAAGTTGTCAAGTCCAGCCTCAAACTTGCAATTCATTTTTTTTTAATATTTAGTTTTTAGGTATAGATGGACACAACACAACACCTTTATTTTTATGTGGTGTTGAGGATTGAACCCGGGTCCCGCCCGTGCTCTACCGCTGAGCCACAATCCCAGCCCTGAAACTTGCAATTCTTCTGCCTCAGCCTCCCAAGTAGGTGGGACTACAGGTGCCCAATACTGTGCCCAGGTCTTATTTCAATTTTTAAGTAGGTATCTCTCTTTGGTCCTCAAGCCTTAGACAACGTCTATTAATTTGTGTTTCTTCTCCACCAGGCCAAGGCTGTTAAGGAGGGCCTGCTTCTTAGTATTTCTCTAGCACTAATAACAGTATGTATCACATACGTGAGTTCAAGGAATATTTCTTGAAAATAAAGGGGAAAAAATAAGGCAGAAAGACCATCATCCACAGAACAGGGATGCTCCTGGAGTCCAACTGCACCCCTCTAATTCCTGGCAGTTGGTTACAGCTATCGTGGGGTGAGCCAACATGGTCAAAGAAAGAACGAGTAAAGCGAGTTTTCTTTCTACTTTGAAAAATTCCTAGAGTTTATCAAGATACCCAGCTGAAACCTAGTGAGTGACAAATAGGAAAACAGTAAGACTTACCGAAATGGCTTTTCTCCTGTATGGGTTCGAATGTGCTTCCTCAGATCACTGAGTGTGGTGAAGTATTTGCTGCAGCCTTCAGATTCACAGTTAAATGTTTTCCCTGTGTGAAGCCTCTGATGTGCTTTCAGCCTGAAAAATAGCCCAGAGAAATGCCCATTGACACAATGTACTATACAACTTCCCCAAGCCAGCTTAATATGCTTCAGGATCAAGTGCATAAGAATTATACACCCATGAGAATTTGGCACCCATTTTAGTATGTCAAAATTTTCACCTGAAGAGAAATTCAGGAGTAAATAACATAATGGTATAAATGTTCCAGAGACAGTCATGCAATCTCTCTGTGCTTCCACTTATTTATCAGCTGTTGTGAATGACTAATACTTAAAAGACCAGTGTGTGTTTCTTTTCTTGCTTTTTTTTTTTGGTAATAAGAATTGAACTCAGGGGCACTTAACCACTGAGCCACATCCCCAGCCCTTTTTTATATTTTATTAGAGACAGGGTCTTGCTGAGTTGCTTAGGGCCTCGCTAAATTGCTGAGGCTGGCTTTGAACTTGTGATCCTCCTGCCTCATCCTCTTGAGCCGTTGGGATTACAGGCATGCACCACTGCACCTAGTACAGTGTGTTTTCTAAATGTTAGCTATTGCTTTCTAATACTTTATATTTAATATTAGGGACTAGTGTAAGTCTCTTGAAAAAAATATGGAAAAGAGAAATAGCCATCAAGTGAGTGATTCCCCATCTCTCAGGGTAGGAAAAGAGTTACCTTCAAGGTGAGATAGGAAAGAAAATTACAGAAGCCTTAGTATGAAGATCCTGCAGCAAGGGGAAATATTACTCTATGCAAACTACTAAGATTCTAAGGTCAGAATGTCACTTTATGAGATGCAAATCTAAATACAGATGTACTTCATTTCCGCCCAAACCAAGATATATTCATCTTTAGGTAACAAGTTTCGCTAATGAATTTTATTTTATTATTATTTTTTTTTTAAAGAGAGAGTGAGAGACAGAGATAGAGATAGAGAGAATTTTTTTTTAATCTTTATTTTTTAGTTTTCGGCGGGCACAACATCTTTGTTGGTATGTGGTGCTGAGGATTGAACCCAGGCCGCACGCATGCCAGGCGAGCGCGCTACCGCTTGAGCCACATCCCGAGCCCGCTAATGAATTTTAAATAGCTGGAGTAAGCTGTGCTCTCTGAAGCTCTGAAAGTGAACATCTCTCTGTGCAAGGAGAAAGAGCTCTGCAGCCATAAGGTCAGAGTCAGGCTGGTGGTGCAGTGGAGGAGAGGCTGACCTGTACAGTGTGTTGAATGCCTTCTCACAGCCCTGCACATCACACTCAAATGGCTTCTCCTTCGTGTGCACTCGCACATGGATCCTGAGGCTGTAAGAGGTGAGGAAGGCCTTGCCACAGCCCTCCTGATTACAGACGAATGTATACTCTCCTCGATGAGTCTTCTGGTGGGTACGCAGGTTGCCTGCTGTGCTGTAGGTACGGGGACAGCCTTCAAAGGTGCACTGGTACCGCTTTACCTGGCAAACAGAGGACATCTCATCAATGGGACAAAAGGGCCACCCAGGGCTTAACTCCCCATGAGCTCAGTTACTAAGAGAAGTAGACAACACACAATTTTTTCATCTACTGGCAAAGTGTGGAAACTCTTGTTGATCAAATTACATCTGGACAATGTCTATGAATAAAAGGAAAGAAATTGGCTTGTGTATAAATGAATATTCTAAATGAATATAAGGGTGTTTTTAGACTCTACATCTATCCATCAAAAAGGAACATACACTATTATACTTACCTGTATTCATATAAAACTCTTAACTTCACTTTTTTTTTGGTACTGGGGAGTGAATCCAGGGGCGCTCAACCACTGAGCCACATCCCCAGCCTTTTTCTGTATTTAATTATTTAGAGACAGGGTCTCATTGAGTTATTTAGGGCCTTGCTAAATTGCTGAGGCTGGCTTTTAACTTGTGATCCTCCTGCTTCAGGCTCCCAAGCCTCTGGGATTACAGGCTAGTGGCACCATAGCTGGCTCTTAACTTCATTTTAAAGCTTGATTTAAACACTTTACCACCTAGTGTTTTATCTCGATTACAACTAATGTTACACTGAGTTTAAAACATCTTGAAATTTATATGTTAACTATCAAACACTGTATCCCTAGGTAGTTTTTCCACTGCATATTTCGAAGTTTACAAGATGAAAAAAAAAAAGTATCTTGAATTTCTTGGAATATTTGTAGGTGGGATATTTCTTAAACTACCTTCAAATAATTTTTTTTTCCTTTTTGCAGTACTGAGGGCCAAATCCAGGGCTTTGTGTGTGCTATGTAAGCACTTTATCACTGATCTATAATCTCATCCTTTTTTAATTTTTTTTTTTGTTTTTTAGTTGTTGATAAACCTTTATTTATTTTTTATTTATTTATATGTGGTGCTGAGAATCAAACCCCATGCCTCACACATGCCAGGCAAGTGTGCTACCACTGAACCTCAGCCCCAGCCCCAGCCCCAGCCCCAGCCCCTAAATTTTATTTTTAAATAAGGTCTTGCTAAGTTAGATGAGCTAGCCTTGAACTTGAGATCCTCCTGCTTCAGCCTCTTGAGTCTCTGGGCTTATGGCATGTACCACCATGCATGGAATAAGAATCATCCATTCTTTTTAGCTTTTAACATTTTCATGTGCATAAATCTTTAATTCTGAACTTTCCAAAGCCTCAATCCACATCTCCAATTATAGTACACTACTGCTACTGTACATTAGCCATTCATTCAACAACTACTGAACTACAGTCTCAGGTAACATGCTCCATACCACAGATTAAAAACTGAGTAGGTCAAAAATCTCTGACTTGAAGGGAAGAGCCAGTGGTAAAGGAAGACATGTATTCAAATTATTTCACTCTGTGCTAAGCTTTCAAACAGATATGTACATAAGGTGCTTTGGGAACATAAAAAGGTAACTTCTAACACTTTTCACCTGTTAGCTTTTTGGGGGGGAGCTGAAAAGGCATTCCTCAGACAAAGCAGACAGAGAAGGGTATTCCAGAAGACAGAACAGCATGGGAATTGCATGGTGATGAGTGAGTGTGATGACACAAGCCACAAACACTTGCAGTATGTGAGAGAGATTGATTGTAAGGAGACGAGTAGGAAAAATGAGGTGAAGCATTCCTATGTAAGCCACAGAAGAGGCCGTCAATGGGAGCCACTGACAGGTTTTGCCAAGATAGCAATACAATCAGAATTAGAATAAGTCATTCTGATAGCTTTGGAGAAGACAGACTGGAAGATAAGAGCAATTAAAAGAGATGAGAAGTTCAGGAAAGAGATGAGAAGAACATAAAATAGAGAAGTAACAGTGGACATTACAAGAGATGAATCAGAGAAATTAAAAGAGCTGGAATGACCAGTTGTAACAACAAATGGGTGCTGACAAGTGGGAGAGGTGGAGAGATAAAGCAAAGACCAACCCCAATATTACAGCCTGGATAACTAGGTAAGTGGTCAGGTTACCAGAGTGGAGCTGGGTAGGCCAGAGATGATGAAGGGCCCAAGTAGAAACATTGGGCATAAAGTACACAGTTGGACTTTTTTATAGACTGGAAGCTAAAGAAAGTCTATGGCAGGAACCTTTAGTCTAAGAGTTACAGCCGGCGACCTGTATACTACATACAGTAGGCTCAAGTTCAAGTTCCAGCTCTGCAATTTACTGTGTAATCTTAGGAACATTAATCTCACTATGCTTCAACTTTCTTATTTTGTCTTTTTAGGATTGCTATAAGGATTAAAAATCATTCATGTAAAGCATTTTAACATAGTGACTGGCACTATGTTAAATAAGATTTCATAACAGCACAAAGAACAGGCCCTGAAAAAAGCTACCACACTTAATGTACTAGTAAAAGATGAGAAGTCCTTGACAGGTAAGAAGAAGAAGGAGCTGGAGAGGCAGACAAAGAAGCAAAGAAGTGTCTGCCGAGAACTAAAAAATAAATATATATATATAAAAAAAAAGAATGTCTCAGAAACCACAGAAAAAGGGTCTCAAGGAAAAGAGAATGATTAACATGTCAAATGTCAGAGAAAACAAGGAAGATAAGGACTGGGAAAACAACCGGATCAGCAGCCAGGAATTCATTAATGCCTCAGCAAGACTAGTCTGCGAGTGGCTGGAAACAAAAAACTGGATTAAGGTAAATAAATAAAAGGAGAAGTGAAGGGAGAGATTAGGGATCATTGTAGACACACAGGAGAACTTCTGAATTGATGGCTTTTTTCCTTCTTAGTAGGCTAGTTCTTGAGCAGATTTGGAGGGAGAAAAGTCCTGGAAAAAAGAAAAGTTGCGGATCCAGGAAGGGACACAAAGAAGAGGAAGATACTATTTAAAAACCTGGTTGGGGGCTTTTAAATAGTAACCCCAATAATTTCAGAGGCTGAGGCAGGAGGAACAAGTCCAGCTTCAGTTTTGGCAAAGTCAGACTCAAAATAAAAAAATAAAAAAGAGCTGGGGATGTACCTCAGTGGTAAAATGCCCTGGGTTCAATCTCCAGTACCAAGAAAAAAGAAAAAAGAGACCAAGCCTGGGTGGGGCTGGGAGCTATAGCTCAGTGGTGATCTAGTATGTACAAGCCCTAAATTTTATCCCCAACTACAAAAAAAGAAAAAGAAAAGGAAAAAAGCCTGGGTAGAGAGGGCCATTCAGTTTTAGGAAAGAGAATTAAGAAAAGGATAAAGTGGAGTCAAGGGTAGATGGTTTTCTTTTTTTTTTTTTTTAATATTTATTTTTTTAGTTGTAGTTAGACACAATATCTTTATTTTATTTATTTATTTTTATGTGGTGCTGAGGATTGAACCCAGGGCCTTTCACATACTAGGTAAGCACTCTACCACTGAGCCACAACCCCAGCCCAAGCGTGGATGGTTTTCTATAAAAAGCCAAACAGTACAAGTCTATGCTCTGTGGGCTTTATGGTTTCAGTCACGAGAATTCAAGTCTGCCATCACAGATTAAAGCAGCCACAGACATAAATAAATGAACCAAAGCTAGGTATACTAGTGCACACTTGTAATCCCAGAGACTCGGGAGACTGAGACAGGAGGATCACTAGTTCAAAGCCAGCCTCAGCAACAGCGAGGCTCTAAGAAACTCAGTGAGACCCTGTCTTTAAATAAAATACAAAATAAGGATGAGGATATGGCTCAGTGGCTGAGTGCCCCTGAATTCAATCTCTAGTACTCCCCTCACCAAAAAAAAAAAAAAAAAAAAAGTAAATGAACCAGCAAAGCTGTTCAAAAGACTATTAAGGACACTGAAATAATTTCATATAATTTTCATATAAAAGAAAATATTATTCTTTTGATTTAAAAAAATCATTAAAAAATACAAAAAACTACCTTAGCTCCAAAGCTATATAATAACAAGCAAGTGGATGGATTTGGTCTGTGATCCACAGTTTGCTAATCCCTAATACTTGCAGGGGTGGAGAAAGAGAGGGGCCCTGACGCCTCCAGGTTCTCCTGTCCACTTCACATTTCTCTATCCAACTCCCAAGGTGACCTTGCACAAATCTTCAGCTTTCTTAGGCAAGTGCTCTCTTACCTAGTACCTTTTCTACTGCCACAAAGGAGATGCTCCAAGGAACTGAATTATTCAATCACTCAGTGCCTAAGGTTTTTGTTTGTGGGACATTCTATCAATGAGCTACACCCTTAGCCATTTTTTACTATTTGAGACACAGTCTTGCCAAATTGCCCAGGCTGGCCTTGAACTTGTGATCCTTCTGCTTCAGCCTCCTGAGCTGCAGGGATTACAGCCATGCACCGCCACACCCACCTTCCCCTAGTCAGTTCAAAAGAACCTAGTTTTGAGGTCAATGCCGGAATAATTCTAAAACAGTATTCTACACATGCCATCTCTGTCCAAACGATAAAATCTCAGTTCCTTAGCCTGATACTTAAGGATATTCTCTGGGTCTCTTCCATGTTCTATCATATTACTCAGTAACCAGCCAAACACAAGGCTGTCTACTAAGCCGGCAGGCAACAGCACACTGGTTCCCCAAATTCAACTCAGAATACCCACCTCTTTGCCTTTACTCTTTCCCTGCTCTCTGCTGGAAATGCCCAGTTCCTTTTTTTGCTTTTTGGAGTCTCTCTATTCCTTTAATTTAAGCCTAACTATCTCCAAGGTTCTCTATATAATCGTGGGCTGGGGATGTGGCTCAAGCGGTAGCGCACTTGCCTGGCATGCGTGCGGCCCGAGTTCGATCCTCAGCACCACATAAAAATAAAATAAAGATATTGGGTCCACCCCTGATTAAAAAATAAATATTTTTTTAAAAAATCACTCTTTGTCTACAGGACAGGGCCTTTCTCTAAATGCCAATAATAAATTAACTATACCACTCATTTGACACTTAACCTATATTGTTAATTATCTACTCACGCATATATTCTGATGTCTCATTAAGACTAAAAACCTCTTCGGTGATGAAAGATTTCAAAATAATCACTGACTA